GGCACTTGGGGACCAGCTGAGGCCGAGCAGCCCCTGGAGATGGTGGGGGACTTGCTCAGCATGCGTGACCCTCAGGGAGCAATCGCCCTTGGCCTGGAGGAGTGAGCGAGGACAGCCTTGCCCCTGCAGTGCGGCCCCACACCCTCTCATGAGTGAAATGAGCTGTTTTTTAAAGGAAAGCTTTGCCTTTATAGGGAAATAAACCAGGTTTTTTACTGTTGTCATTTGGGTCTGAGTGTTGGATGGGGGGCCATGCACAAGCGTGCAGGGTCTGAGTGCTGTGCTGCCTGCAGCAAGGACCTAGGCTGTGCCCTGCGCTCGTGGAGCCTGGGGCTCCTGCATCATCCTCGGCTGCTGTCCGAGTGTTGTGTGGCTGCTGCCAGACCCATTTGCAGGGTGTGTGCTTGTATGTGCCTCAGTGCATACCTCTGTCCAACATTGCTGCTGCCTTTCCTGCGCCCCACTCATCTCTGCAGTTCCCTGCTTTCCTGCGCTGCCGTGGTGTGAGAAGTGATGGCTTAGGGGTTTTTTGGGGGGGTGGAGGGGGGAGATCCGTGTGTGTGTGACTGTGCGTGTGTCTTATATGCCTCAACACCACTCCCTGATGTTACATTTAATGTGACAGAATTTTTGTGCTCCTTTTTTATTTGGCCACAACCCCTGCATTTCGCCGTACCCTTTTCTTGGTGCCTCCCCCAGCTCCTCGGCTCTGCTGCAGTGATGCTCCTTTGTTTCTTTGTGTGCGCCCCTGGTCTGGTTAAAGAACTCACCATAGCAGTCACGTCTGCTTGACCCTGCAGGACAGCACCTCCAAACACTTTCCCTGGCACCAGAGCTGCTTAAAAAACACATATATTTCCCTGACAGCCCTAATTTTTTTAGTGTACCCCCTAAAACCCAAAAGTTAGCTGTCAAAACAAGGTGGGTTGTCTCTCTGGAGCTATGGCCATGCTCCCTGAAGCCCAAATTACAGCACAGCAGCACGTGCACCCCACCACCACGGTGCTTTTGCTCCTTGGGTACCCCCCTCCTTACCTGATCAGGGAGCAGCACGGCCCCTCCGGCCAGCAGCTGGCTGGGATCCGGCCTCATCCTCCTCCCTGGACCCGCTGCCAGGGCATCGCTGGTCTCTGCAGCCTGTTGTGTTTGTGCAGAGAAAGCAGCTGTGATGCCAGTGTCAGTGGGACAGTCTGTCCAGCAGCATGTCCTGGCACTCCCTCGAGGGCCAGAGGTGTGCAAGATGACCTGAGAGGACCTGCAGCTCTTGCAGAGCATGCAAGAACAGATTTCCTTCTAAGGGCCGTGCACGCATTTAAGAAGTGCTGGTACTCGTACACACACCCACACACAGACCCGCAACGCTGCAGGGACACCGCTGCCTTTGAGCCAGGATGCTTTTATTGAAAAGACCCTGCTGCAGGGAGTTGCTTCTCCTGTCCCTTCCCCATCCCGCAGCAGGAGCTGAGCAGCACCTGGAAGGAAGAGTCCTGAAAGTGCTTATTGGGAGGTTATTCCTGGAAGACGGTGGATCCTGTGATGCTTGAGTCCAGGGCTGCACAGCCAGCACCCCAGCTCAGTGACAGCCATAGAGCAGAGCATGGAGGGGGAGCAGCAGCCAGGGCACCAGCTGCCATCTCTGCATGAGACCCTCCTCGGATCACCCCCTTCCCTCCTGCCACCAGCGAGACAGCATGCCTCAGCCCCACCTGAGCCCCGGGCACCCAGCATCGCAGGCACTCAGAGAGAGACTCCTGCCCACAGGCTCTGGCAAGCAAACAGGCACAGTCCAGACACGCCCTTCACCAGCCC